CCCAGTCTTCAAGATCATATTTCTGCTGTTGTCACTTGACTTTCATTTATCTTCCATTATTAAAACCAGTAACAGAAAAGAATCACATAGATAATCTTATCTACTAAAGGCTTTACTCTCTGCAAGTGATGAAAACATTGTCTTATGTTTTATCGGGTCTTCATTATTCACCTCTTTCCACATCACACATCACAGAAGAGCCTCTTTTAAGAGAAGATCCTTATTAAGAAAAGATTCTGAATCACACCAAACAAAATTTGACAGAGGTGACTTTTGGCTATCTTTTAAATTACAATATAATTGACTGTAAAACCATTTAGCCCAACACTCAGTGCTATAATGCCAAACCATCGCAGCAACAGTAACTTTGCTTCCCTACAGAGAGGATGCTTACTCCACAATCACTTAACTCTGAAAGCATTAAAATTTAAAACAGGAAAAGGGTGGGGGGGGAGATGATACTTTCATTAGCTGTTACCAAAAATTCCTAATAAGAAGTGACAGGCACTGCACTTGCTGTGGTTTCTCTATCAGATGTTAGAAGGCTTAGTCTGTGGCAGCTGTGGCTGATCATCAATTTATCATTCCCTAAACCGTTCTTTTCCCCAATGGGAATAATATACCATGAATAAAATTTAATGGCTGTTTAGTTCACATTTCATCACCATAAGGCAGCAATACCGAGCTCGAGGTGGAACCTCACAGAGTGTTGGTTCTTTAATGTCTCACAACCTACCCCACCAGCCCAATGGAAAAACATATTTCAAATGCAGACCCAGGAAGAAGTTGATGGTAACTGAAGATGTATCAGCAAAAGAGAGGTATAGCAGGCCCGTAAACAAGGATCAAAGTTAACTCCATGTTTAAAGTCTCTTTCCTTGATTCACAAGACATGTTATTTCCTTCTAATGCAGGTATCAGGACTACACCTAGATTATGCCCTCTAAAGAGTTGTTTGATATTTATATCCCTCCACAGTTAGTAAATGCCATTGATCACAATCTACCAGACTAGAGCAGAAATCCCTATTACTAATAGTGGGTTTGTACTGAAAAACTATTAGGTGATTAATATATCAACTGGATGGACAGAAAAGTAAGCTAGATCCTTAGCCACTCAGCTGGAATGTAAGAAAATGTCATTACTCTGTGATATGCACCTCAAAAATAACAGCCAGTATCTTTCTGATTTTATATACCATAAGCAACGTTTCAAAAAATATGCATCAGTTCCATTCCAAATCCTTGTATCTTCTCCACAAACCACCCTTCCCTCTTTAGTTCTTACAATCTAATCCTCTGGCTGAAGACTCCCTTAGTCCTTTAGCACCCTCCAGCTGAGGGTATAGCTCAGTGATGGGGCACTTGCCTAACCTAATAAACTCAAAAAATTTGGCTCCATCCCTAACACAGAAAAAAAATAAGAAGAATAAACTCAAAGTGATTCCATGTTATGATTTCTTTTTGTCTTTTATTTTTGAGATTAAAATATAAAAAGAAAATCTCCATCTTCCCTTTCTTTCCTCTAACTGCCCCCCCCCCCCTCATACACCTATAGTGGCATTTCATTTGTATTTTAACAAATAAAGCTTGCCTGAGGATCAGAACAGTAAAACAGTCACACTGGCCAGCCTTACATACAAGGCAGCAATACCATATACCTTTAATCCCAGTAGCCACACTAGTTTGCAATAGAAACCAGGCGATAGTGGTACATGTCCTTAAGCCCAGAACTGGAGAGGATTATAAAACAGGAGGAGACAGCTCTCACACACAGTCTCATTCTGAGATTCCTGGAGCCAAGATTGCCATTTTGGACTGAGGTAGAGCCAGTGGCTGGACTTTTTTTTCTTTTCTGACCTTCGGTTTTACCCCAATTTCTGTCTCTGAGTTTTTATTAATTGTGCTACACATACCCCTACCTTCAAATTTATGGATTCTTTTCACTAATTGTTATGGTATGCATATATGTATATACATACATATTCCTAAATATATAACTAGTTCAGTCCATATGATGGTATTTTTGCATGTTTTCAGAGCTAGCCATTTGACCCTGAACAACCAATTGGAGTGCTCTTCCGTGGGGATGATCACCTTCCCCACTCCCAGCTTTCCTGAGATGTCTTTAGTTCTTCATTTACAGTTGAGGCCTCATGACATTTTCCTCATCCGTTTCAACTTCTATCTTTCAAAATAACATGATACTCAGGTTTCTCTCACCATTAAGAAAGGAAAAAAAAAACTATCAGACCTGAAACTCTGAAATAGTTATAGGAAAAAAAAATAGGAAAGAAACTTGAAGGTAAATGCATAGGCAAAGATTTGACAGAAATCATTCACAAAATAAGGTCAATGACAAATAATTAGGACATAATGAAATTAATGTTTCAGCATAGGAGAGTAAATAGTTAATGGAGTGAAGAAAGTCTACAGAATGAGACATAATCCTTGCTACTTTTAGGATTAATATTAAGAACATATAAAAAACACTAAAAAAATAAACAAGAAATCAAACTACTCCATAACTAAATTGAATATGAAGCAAATAGACAAATCTCAAAAGATGAAATGCAAATAGTCTATAAGCATGCAAAAATAAAAGTTTAGCCTATTTGCCATCCAAGAAACACAAATCAAAACATTATACTAGCTGAGCAGTTGAATCTATATATTTACACACACACACACACACACACACACAGAGAGAGAGAGAGAGAGAGAGAGAGATTCCAGAAATGATATAATTGCATTGTCATCTCAAATGAGTTTTAAAATATTTTTAAAAACTATAGTGAGTTTAGTCAGAATGCTAATCACTAAAAACGTGAATAACAGAAAGTGCTAGTGAAGAAGTTGACAAACAAAATGATTATATACTGTTGGTCGAATGTAAATTAGTTCAGCCACTGTGGAAGTCTCTACAAAAAGTAAATATAAATCGTCTATATGACCTAGTTATATTATTCCTGCACATCTTCTCAACTGATTCAAGTCAAGCTGTTGCAGAAATATAAGCGCATTGGTGATTCTTGAAGCCCTTCTCCCCTAAACAATCATGAGACCAATGAAGTATTCTTCACAAGAGAGGAAGGGATAAGAGAAACATGTTACATATACACAATGAAATATCTTTCAGTTATAAAGAAGAATGAAAGTCATGTCTTTGCTGGAAAATTGATGCAATAGGAGATGATCATTTTAAGGCAGTTAGATCAGTATCTGAAAGACAAATATTTCTCTCATTCATTGTGGTTCCTAGATTTTATAGAGATACATAAAGTCATGCACATACATATGACATGAAAGCAAAATGAAACTGTCTAGGAGAACAAAGAGAGAGAAAGGATACCTAGTGGAAAGGGGGAGGATGTGAAAAGGGAGAGAGGGAGGTATGAAGTCGAAGTGCTCTGCATAAAATAAACATTTACAATATCTTTAAAATTATTAGTTTTTTACAAAATAGAGAATTTTTCAATATTCTACAGGATATAAATGTTCTGGCCAAACAAGTGACATAATTGCCAAACTCTCAAATGTTTCTCCTCCCAGCTACAGCAGTTGACACTCAGAGTCATGCCGCTGATTTTGAAACACCTCTGGGTGTATGAGTGCTACCGCTCCAATCATATCTCAGCGCAAAACTTAGCCACCCTTTCTTCAACTCATTAAGACATTTTACTTTTATTAACCTTCAAGGTTCTAACTCGAAACTCCTCCAAACTATTCTCCATAATACAGTCATTAAGTATGACTATCTCACTGACACTTCAAATAATTTGAGTTAATTTTAACAACCTATCAAATTGAAGCTCTGACTTTTGACTTCAAGTAACAGAAATTAACATATACATGCCGTACGTATATACCATGAAAGTTAAAATATGCTAAACTTCAAATTTTGTTTGACATATTAAACTGTGGTACATATTAATATTATACAAGTTTTAACAAAGCCTTCATAATACTATTTTTAAATATCTGATTTGAAATATTGATATTCCCATTGTCACTCATAAAAAATAATTAAAAAATATGTGTGCTCCTGGTCATCCCCAAATTTTATGTCTGAATAGGTCATTTTTGTGACCTATAAGACATGAGAGCAGGTGGACAGGCGGGTCTACAGTAAGACCTCGTCTCAAAAACCCCGAAATATGTGGGAAAATTTAGTTATTAAAGACTCCATGTCACTGAATTGTTATTACAATATATGTATTTTGTGACTGTCAAAGTACCGATTTATTTTCTGTGGTTCCTGATGGAATTCAAATCCTAAATATATAACTGCGGACTATAAAGCTATTCAAGGCTTTACCTAACTCAATTCAAATTACTTATTTACTACTACTTTGTAAACTCACCAAACCCTCACTAGCTCCTTTTTTGGTAATGTAGACTCCAATCCTGACCCTGTTCTTCTGATAGGGTACATAACCTAGTTCTTCTCCCATGATGGGTCTTATCCTGTCACCTCCTTGAGACAAGAGACCCCATCTGCCCCATCTTTAATATCCTCAACGCTTTCTGCAGCTCCTCCCAGTGTGTCATTCCCAGTGTGTCGCTCCCAGTGTGTCACTGCTCAATCAAAGATCTGGTCAACACGTAGCTAACCAGAACTAAAATCAAAGATCTGATCAACAAGTGGCTAACCAGTCCACAACATGTCCTCTTCTTCAGAAAGCCTCAGAAACAATACTGACCTTCGAGCCGGGCTTACACACACTCAGAGATGTAAAACACACCACATAAGACAGACTTTTCCTGCCAAAGTTTCTGAGGCTCCAGATGCAGTTATAGAAAGACCCTCCAAGCAGTGATGGTGCTCACCTTTAATCGCAGCATTCGGGAAGCAGAGACTGGTGGATCTCTGTGAGTTCGAGGTCAGCTTGGTCTACAGAGCAAGTTCCAGGACAGGCTCCAAAGCTACACAGAGAAACCCTATTTGAAAGAAACCAAAAAAAGTAAAAAGAAAAGAGAAAGAAAAGTAACGAGACCTACCTCCTCCAAGGGCGTGACCCAGAGCCCCAAGTCTCAGCACCTGAGAGCATGCGCAGCCTGAGGGGAAGCAGCGGCCTGAGAGAACAGAGGGCAAGCCTTGGCTGCACAAACCCACGGCTCCTGAGAAGGAAGGACGCCCTCAGGCGGCAAGCGAAGCACGGGGGCTGGTGTTCCGTGCCACGAGCACGGATGCAAGCGCTGCCCGCAGGTGGGCGCCAGAGCCCAGAGCGGCACTCCGCCCTGCTCCTTTCGTCCCCTGCCAATCAAGAGGCAGGCGGGCGGAGACCACAATCCCCAGAAGCCCCTGCGCTACTCGCCTCGGAGGGGCTCGGGCGGGCTCGGATGGGCTCGGCGAAGGCTCGAGACGGATTTGGCGGGAACAGGCAGGAGTCCTCTGCATCTTGGCGACCGCTGTGAGGTTCCATAATTGTCAAGCTCCTCTGCTGCAAGAGGCAGATGCCTGGATGGTTTCTAAGGAGAGCTCCAGGGGGCTTACTAGCCAGAAAGACCTGGGCCTTGAAGAGAAGGAAAGTCACCGGGAAACTCTGTTGTGATGACTGCTGTTCTGCATGAGAACAGTCGGGGAAAGGGTTTCTTTGCTTGTTTCCAGAAGGTGTTTGTGAAGTTTGGCTTCCTGCATTGGAATGCAATTACTCTACAGCCACGTTTCTTATTTGTCCACCTGTCACGTTGTTTTAATATAAATTTTTAATTGACTTTGGCCTCACATATTGAATTTCCTCATATAGAATTATAAATTCTATTAGAATGCAAAATAGATTCAGAGCATTCTGAAAGCATTTCTTTGTCTTTAATAGAAAAGCGCTTAGTTACTAACAAGTAAGTTTCAACTATTGCATAGTTTAAATTAAGGGTCTGCTCAGCTCATTGTCCTACATACATGAACCTTTATTAAGACATAAATTTGCATCCAATCAGTTGTATCTGTCCTGGAAATGTTAAGCTTCATTGTTCTATCTATGTGCTTGTTAAGAAAGTCAATAATTTTACATATAATGTAATTGTGTTTAATATAGCTTTTTAATTAATAAGTAGTGCTTTTCATGTAAACTAAAAATGAATGATCTTAAGCTTCAGTTAATGAACAGTAAATTAATGTCTTACTGTATTTGCTGCTCTTCTTTGAGATATGTAAAACCAAACCATCAAAGTTCATTTTAGAGATAATCAACAGTCAAGTAGGTACAATGTAGAAATATTCCCTTATGTCGCTGAATATATGATTCTTTTTCAATTCTACTCATACATTTTTTTGAGCAAATTGTACTATTTTGTACCAGACACTGGGTGAAGCCTGATTACATCCCTATACAAGACACAACACTCAGTCTCTAATTAAAACAAATGGATAACAATTACCAGAAAGAGCACAGCCACTGAAATCCTGTAGAAAAGCTCAAACTCAATTTTAATGGAATCTTACTCTTCATCATCCAAATTTGGAGACTCACTAACTTCAACAACCTCAACAGTTTTCTTAGACCATCTTCAGATGAAATTGTTAGAGATAATTTTAGAACTTCATAGCAGAAAAACAATTCAAGAAAATTATGCAAGTTTTTTTGACTCACTTAAGACTACTGAAACACAAAATGATCAATCAATGAATGCTTATTGAATAAATTAATTGGCTCTCTAGTAATGTTTGACCATTTAATTCTAAGAAATTTTAGAGACTTTTTTTTTAAATGTCACAGTCTAATGATGGGACTGTGTCTAAACCACTTTTCTAAAGAATGACAGACAGATGATAGATATATGGATGGATGGATGGATGGATGGATAGATAGATAAACAGATAGATAGAAAACTAAAATAACAAACTTTATTACAAGTGAAGAGGCACACAGGCATACATACAGAAAAAGCAAACAATACACAGAGAAAGACACCCCATAAAGTGCGAAGAAGATTTAGAAACCAGAATCTTATTTTCCCACATAGAACTGGGGCTTTGGTGGCCTGAGAAGTTCCCTCCTCCTCCCATTTCCTATTGGTTATCTTTAAAAAAAGAAAAGGGGAGATCATAGGATCAGGTAACCATGCTAAGGGGGCAGCCTTAAATGTGTATGACCACACTGGACAGGTCAACTGGAATGGTGAGAGTATTGCTGGCAAGAGAAAACGCCTGCCAGGTCTTGGTCAAGGGTGTTATGAAGAAACTGGAAGGTTGTCGTCTTATTAGTGACCAGTGGTCCCATTTCTCATCAATATGCTTCCAAGAACATCCATTTTATTTCTACAAATCTCTGTGTAAATTTCTAGTATCCAAATACAAGTAAATGAAAATAGTTTCACTAAACATATAATCTTAAATGATGAGACTACTACCATATTAGTTAATTCAAACAGAATATAAGTATATGAGTAAACTGAGTACAAAAATACAATCAGGGGGGCTGATGTGATCACTCAGCAGATAAAAGCATTCCCCTATGAACCTGACAACTTGAGTTCCATCTTCAGAATCCACAAGACAGAAGGGGAGGATTGATTCATAGAAGTTGTAATCTGACCTCCATACATGTGATGTGTGATGTAGGATTTCCCTCTGTATTCTGTGAATATTATTGGTTAATAAAGAAATTGTTTTTGGCCTATAGCAGAGCTATAAGGGAAGAGAGCTAGGCAGGGAAAACTAAACAGAATGCTGGGAGAAAGAAGGGTGGAGTCAGAGAGAGAAGCCATGGAGTCATCTAGAGAGATGTGCTGAAACTTTGCTGGTAGGCCACGACCTCATGGTGATACACAGATTACTAGAAATGAGTTAAATTAAGATGTAAGAGTTTGCCAATAAGAAGCTAGAGCTAATGGGCCAAGAGGTGATTTAAATAATATAATTTCTGTGTGATTATTTCAGGGCTGAGCAGCTGGGAATCAACAAGCAGGCCTCCCAACAACATATGTGGCACAAGTGTGAACATATACATACACAAACAACTAAAAATTATGTAATGAAGGAACAAAATTAGCAGTAAAATAGCCAGTTTAACCACAAACAGCACAATAGTTGATCAAAAGAAATGTGGATTGTTTTTTTAAGGATGTTGTAAAGTGTTATAGTTTAAAAAAGGAAAAAAATTGTAAGTTCCACATTCATTCAGTGAATTTATTATAGAGCAGAGTGCAGTTTTCCATTATGTTTGAGTTCAGGGGCTCAATCAAGGCACTGGAAGGACAGAAAGCAAATAAGAACTAAACTTTCTGTAATGTCTTATAATATGCTATTATTAAAACGATGTTAAAGCTTATCTTTTACAAAACAGAGGCTAACAAAGAAGTTGGTGGCTCTGTGTTCAAATCATCAGTTCAAGAAACAGTTATATAAGTACTAATTATAAGAAAAACATTGTTCTCAATTATTTTGGAGTCTGATGATAGTCAGCTACATCAACAACATCTCAGGGTTTCTATTGCTGTGATGAAACACCATGACTGAAAGAAACTTCAAGAGGAAAGTATTTATTTTGCTTATACTATTGTGTCACAATTCATCATCAATAGAAATCAAGACAGGAACTCAAATGGGGAAGGAAACTGGAGATAGAAGCTGAAACAGAGGCCATAGAAGAATACTGCTTATTGATTTACTCTTATGGGCATTATAGAACCTAGAACCACCAGCCCAGGGATGGCACCACCCACATCATCAATCACTATTAAGAAAATGCTATACAGGCTTCCCTAGTGCACAGTCTCATGAAGGCCTTTTCACAAATGTGGTTCCCTCTTCTCAAATGGCTCTGGCTTTTGTCAAGTTGACATAAAACTAGCCAGTAAAAGTTTTAAGTAGGAAATACTAAACACACTTTCTGTGTTCTGCAGGCATGGACTGGCGGATGCAGTGATTCCTCATAAAATTTTATGAGACAAGTGTTGTTTGAGGAGACACTTGTTTCTCAGCCGCCCAGCAGCTTAGACCCGAAAACAATCACACAGAAACCATATTATTTTAATCACTGCTTGGCCAATTACTTAAGCATATTGCTAGCTAGATATTACATCTATAATTAACCTATCTCCACTATTTTATATTTTACCATGAGGCTCGTGACCTACCAGCAAGGTTTCAGTGTTTATGTTTCTGGCTGTGGCTCCATGGGTTCTTTCTGACTCCGTCGCCTTTCTCCCAGCATTCAGTTCAGTTTTCTCTGCCTGTCTCTGTTCCCTTATAGCTCTGCTATAGGCCCAAAACAGTTTCTTTATTAACCAATGGTATTCACAGCATAGAGAGGGGAATCCCATATCAGACAAGTATTGCCTTTAACCTTAATTTTGTAATGAGTAAACTGACTTAAATGCAATCATCCAAGGACATTCAGCGTGCTGATAGTGAGATTATTATTTCATCTTGCTCTCTTTCCTCAGAGTTCATATGCTAGACACATGCAATGTTGTGTAGCACATCCAGGAATGTGGCTAAGCATTTTCTAGTGACTGGCCATTAATACAGCCTTCCAAGCTTCCTATTCAGGATTCTATTACCTTAGAATTGTCTTAATGATGATGCTTAGGGCAGATAACTCCACAGTCCTTTATTTCTATTTACCAGTCTCTTGGCTAGATTTCCATTTGGTAACTTTTATGCATGCTTCATCCTTTTGTTTCACATCCATGAACTTGCCAGTTGCTATTGTATTGGCTATGTTTTTTTTAACAAATGTCTACTAATCTAATAAAATTTGTAAAAGATCATAAGTTCATAGTTTGTAGAATTCATGTTGCCAAAAGAATCCTGCATATGAGTTTCAGTAATTATTGTTTCTGTAGAATTAATGATTCATGTTGCCATTTGTAAAATTGTTAGCATACTCAATGCCATCTTAAAAGTATTTCTCAATTTTATCAATATTTCTGGTATTGAAAAAATGGGTGAGTGGAGATCATATTCTATATCTAACCAGGATGTTGTCTAAACCCCTTCCAAGAATTGACTGGGAAAACAGCAAAGGAAAACCAAAACTAACTCTATATGCCACACAAGAATAAATAATTTGGAGACTCTTGATGGCAAGAGAATGCCAACTGGGAGATGTTTCATCTAAGTCCTCAAGAGGATTTGGGGTGTCAAGC